GTGTGTGTGTGTGTCCCTTGACAGAGAGGAAGAGAGCGGGGAACGCTGTAGGTCACGTAGCTCGTGAATCATGCAACCTTTACCTCGTAAGCGATCGCGACTTCTGGGAAAACGTCGGGTGCACACACATGGACGCACACGGACGCCCACGCGACCCCACGTAACCGAGACCCACACACGGCGCTCGATTCTCGATACATACCTCTCGTGTCTTTTCTCTCTCTTTCCTCCGCTTCCCTCCGTTCCCTCCTCTCCCGCCCCGGTGTCCGCGACCTCCGGATGGCCAACCCTCGCCGAAGGTCGCGAAGGCCTCGAGTGCGAGGTGAAGCGTTGGATGCTGCTGCGACGGAGGGCTCGCGGTTCTCTCATGGGAACCGGAGTTCGCCGAAATTGGGAGAATGAAGTGCCTGGAACAGAGATTCGTAGGACCTTAACTTGCGGTTCTGTCACGGGTGAAAGTCGGAGTTTCTAGGACAGAGTTTCGTGGAATCGAGATTCGTAGGATTTACACCTGGGTAAGCTTAAGTCTAAATGCTTAAATTAAGTAATAAGCTTGCGTTGCCGGAAGATGTACGTTAATCGTTTTCAAATATTGAAATTATACGAATAACAAGTTTGCAGAAATTATCTACAAAATTAATACACGTACACAGTGTTTAAATATTTTTAATGTTCAAGCTTGTTGTGGACAATTTTTATTCGAGATTCAATTTGAGATAAAAATCTATTTATAATTTTATATATTTTTGAATTTTATATCGTGAATTATATAAATCGTTCAAAAGTCTTTAAATAGAGTTGAAATAAAATAACATCGTCCTCGATATACAAGTGTGCCTAATAACGTGCGTTCAAGAACAAAATTGGGAATGCAAATTTGCAAAGGTGTCGTAAATCTATAAATTGACATTTGCGATATTAATCCACAGATAATTTACGGCAATTTGCCTCCACTTTCCACTTAACGGTAAACGACTTAATAATTCAGAAACGTTTCACAGGTAAACAAGCATCGTTCTGGCTCCTGTTCGTCTTTGTCCCGGGGAATTCAGGATAATCGTCCCTGGTCCCTTTCGCACGACGTTAACGTGAAGTATAATGCGACGATGGAGAAGATAACAACACGCGACAGGTGAAGTTCGTATCTTGTACGATGTCGGAAAGGCGAAGATCGAAACTGATATCGGCAACTGCAGCATCTGTGTGTGCATCCACATTTTGCGGCACAAATTTTAACGATTTTATCTTCGGACAATATATCCGCCGTTAATATCGATTATTAATAGATAAATACGAAACGTTTTCTATAGAAAATTTTTCCTTCGGATTTTATAACATCAGCGTGTCGTGCGATATAAATATATCACACAGCACAATACACAAGTTACTTAATTATTATTGTACATTATGCCTTATTTTTATCGCGTTAATCTTTATAGCATTAGTGGCCAAACTCGTGTGGGAGGATAACGTGTATCGTCGAGGGATAATGCGTTTTAATTTAAGAGAGAGAGCTGGAAGGATACGTGGAATCGCAGGATGCGGAAATACGGGGGTAGTGAAGTATGACAGTTACAGTCCCGCAACATTGGAGCGGCTGTTCTTTGTTCACGTACCTGAGTGCGATTACTCTTCACGCTCATTATCCGCCCGTTCCGCGAATTCGTAGGTTTCCCCGTAAAATGCGTCATCAGGATCAGCGAATTACCGTCGCGGTAGAAAATGTAACAACCCATTTTTTTTTCCCTACTCTGCTCTTATTAATTTGACGGTTCCGGTAAAGCAGTAGGATATTTTCCCACGAACTGGTTTTTATCTCCATTGCCGTAAACATGCGGTGATAAGTCTTCTGTTTTTTTTTCTTATTTACTTTTTTTCGCAAGTTAAGTAATATGTTATTAAATGTAACGACAATATCAACTTTCATGTTGTTGTCAGAAATTAAAATTTGGCTTCTGAAATCATGCGAGAAGTGATTTTGCTTTCACATCTGTCAATGTAATCTTATTTCATGCAAAAAAAGTAAACTTTATTTAAATTTTGAGGAAGGAAACTTTGATTACGCGTCGAATTCCAAGCAGATTTTCTATTTATTTTTTTTTGTTTCCTTTAGATAATAGTGAATATTATATCAAATGTGTAATTATAATGTGCAATCGTAGCTAGAATTCAGTTTTCTCGGAAGCGTCAACGCCTTTCAGGTATTAACGAACCTGCTTCATTAATTTAACATTTGTGTTACCGCATATTTCGCGATAACACTGTCAGCATGTTAGACATATCAATTTTCCATGTACCTTCTTCCGAGAAGCGTTGTATTCCAACGCTAACAACCGCATGCCGGGACACACCGGGTGCAAATACGACTCAGCGAGAGGTCGGTGAGTTATGATATATTTGCGACCGAGGATCCTGCCTGCTCTGCGTAGGAGAAACGGCTCCGGTAAACTTCTGCGAGGACCCTACCGCCCACATCGCACACATGTAAAAGCCGTGTAGCCGTGAGCACGCATTCCTGATGTCTTTCTTACGAAAGGAGCACCGGCCGCACCGCCTCATCATTATGTTACTCTCACCACGGTCGCACTTTTATTGTATCATCATGTGCAATGCACGCGCAGGAGTGCAGTTTTTTTTTTTAATTTAAAGATTTCAAGAGTTTACTTTGAAACGCCGACAATTCTTTTTACTGATATCAATTATAATAAGTAAATAAAAAGCAAACATAAAACTACGTCAATTTAAAAAAAATAACGTCAACTTAGAAATATTTAAAAAATTGTAACGTACTTTTTTCTATTGTCAAAACTTTGGAATAATTAGATAAAATCGATTTGTTGAAAATATACAAATTTATAAAAAAAAATTTTTTATCAATGTATAATCGCGGTAATTTTTGATAAGCGCGTGAATACCTACGATGATCGGTTTTATGTTTTATCGTTTGCGGAATTTGGAAAGAGAAAACATCTCGATCTTTCACAGCCCGATGTTCATAATAGACAATCTCTCGGAGAATTGTTATAAATTTTATATTTCGCCCGTGCAAGAACATCGCGCGCGAGAGCTAATGCAAAATGAATGAATTCAGCGAAGCCACTGAAGGCGGTAATTAAATTTTCAGGTGCTCGCGCGAGATTTTATTGCCAGTCTCGTGAGGATTTCCGGGAGATCTCCGATCGTTCCTTCGCTTCTCGCGACACACTATTATCTTGGCATCTTGCTAATGTATCGAGATTAACGGATCATCACGCGAGAATTGCACACGTTCCGCGAAAAAAGGCGAGGGACTCACGTGTCGCTGTCGCGCGACCGTAGCTTCCCCGAAATCGATCGGCGATTTCCGGGAGGTGACTTCATTCGGGGATTCCGTCGCGGTCACGCTTCCATTCGGTCGGTTATGTATACCTGCGGCGAGGCAGGTGAGGAACAGCCACCCGCCGTATATCAGGTATATCAACACCCACCCACCGTTCGTTATGTACACACGTGAGAACTTCGACCTCCGCCACGAGGACGCGCGTAAAACCCGAATGGTCACGTATTCGCGCGCCGATCGATAGGGCAATTGCTCCGTTTTTATGATTGATTTTCCCGCTGACTTTGCCGATGATGAACAACCTGGATTCTACAATGCGTCTACCTTGCAGGCAAAAACTCACCGCTTTAGAAATAATCAATTCCGCTCTGTCAGACACTTTCGCGCAAAATTAATTGTGAAATTTTATCGCGGGAACGCACTTATATTTATATTTATCTTTTTATTATGATTTTTTTGTATTCCGATAAAAATGTTGCATCCAAATTTGATGAGATAAATTAGGGGAGTCGTTAAAATGAATCTCTCTAGGAGCGAAAGTTCTCTCTCGCATTAACTGTTTTCGATCCGAATCTCATTTCGAGTTACATTTATTATATTTCGGAGAAAGCGTTCATTGTAGAAAATTATATTCTCGAGCTTACGCAATAATTTTAAATCTTGAGCAATTTTACATCGCAAAATCTGCCACTCTCTCGCCTGTACTTTTGTTTAAACATAACAGTGAGAAATTGCAACGCGATTATAATTTTTTTTTATAGATTATCTCTCGACTGATTTCTAATGAGAATAGAGATGCTGCAAGACGTATCCTCTCGACAAATATATTCTTTATAGAAAAATGCTCGCAGATAAGAAACAAGTGGCGGAACTAAACGAAACGCTACGTCTGTGACACGCTCGTTATCACCGGAAGAAAGGCTAAGTGGAACAGTAACGAGAAAATCGAAAGCGCGGGGTTACGCGATTGGTGTAATCAGAGATCAGAGGTCAATGGAAATGTATAATTCTTATTCTATACCTCCGTAGACATGCTGGCGAGGCCGTGCATAGATACAAGGATGTGTCTTCCTTTGATTTTTTTCTTATAATCTTTATTCAGTGTCATTCTAGCGCCGTGGCATGTTCCTCTTCGCTCTTGTCTCCTTCTTCACTTGCAAGATCTAATAATAAAAAAAGTAAAATTAAATTCTATAATTTATTGTACAGCCAAATTCTTATTTTCTTTATTTTTACATTTTTTACTTTATTAAGTTTTTGTATTAAACATCATCAGAGAGAGAATTCTAGACAGAAATATTGATTTCAAAGAGTTTTACGTGGAACAACACAGCAAACATTAGAAACATAAAAGAAGTGATAACAATTTCGTTTCCCCGATCGCCAGCTGATTCTCTTTGCGCCCGGCTGCGAGCAAGGTATGCCGCCTTACCTTGTAAAAAAACTCGCTCAAGTAAATGCAGTGTTGCGCTCTCGCGAAACTTAATACGAAGCCTCGTCGCGTCGGCCGTCGAAAGCGGCGGAGAATAAATCAACGGAAGGTCACGTCGAGACTCGATTACGCCTTGCAATTAAACTTCAAACGGCGAAGCTGAATTTTAAAGGTGATGACAACGAGGGGGGAGAAGTGCGGGAGGTTCGATCGCCTTATTATACTTCGCCCGGCATAATTGCACTTCGGACGCGCGATGCACTTAAGGTAAAACGCGTGAGAAAGTCGCGCTCTCAGAGAAATCGACGCGCTCGACGAGAATCGAAATTTGATCGAGAAATCCAGTCTAGACGTCTCGAATGTGCGCCGGACACGAGAAGTTCGCGGAATCTTGATCACTTTTTGCCGCGGGAGAATGGAAGTAACGGGAATCGAAAGGTTAGAATTGCAAGATTAGCGTATTAAATTCATGTATTTAGGTTTACACTCGACATTTTTATCACCACCATTTCCAGATCTCGCTTTTTAGCTCGTTTTTATACTTTTTCGTATTTAAATGACCGTATATGCAGATGTTACCTGATAAAATATTTGATATTTCTCAATACGCATTAGCATATTTTTCCACGGCGATATTACTTCGAAAGAGAGAATGTTTTCTACCCATTGTATTACCACCTGACGCAAATGTTACAAGTGTTGTAAAGTTGTAGGCCCTGCATTAGGCTAATATTTCATGTCACATGACAAACTTTTTGATCGCGCTAATTGGTTATCGCGAATAGAGAATTCTGCAAAGTGCTAAAGATTTTTCTTTCGATAGCCAATAAGCACATTCGAAGAAACTAGTTGAGAAAACGATGAATCAAGCATTAGCTTTACACCAACGGCGAAGACTTCGGTTCAACGCGCACTTCAGTTGAATTTTCCGCTTTCGAATGGCGAGATGCGAAATCGCGCGCGGGACGGAAAGACGAGTTGTCTTTCGAATCCGCCGGCTGTGCATACCTCGTTCGGCCGCTGGGCAGTCGGTCGGTGCACGAAATTCCGAGAAGCGCCGGCCCTTTACTCGGCTCGCGGCGTATACTCGGCGCAAAGAGACGAGTTCTGCGATTGCGAAGGACCGGGACGGGAGACACACTCGAGACGCACGGAAGCGGGCTTCGCTGCAACGGATTTTACGAGATAAGAGTCGGCGACTGAACTGAGTCATTTCAATACGATCCTTAAATAGCAGATCGATGAACGATGCTTTATCAGCGCAATCTCTAACTTTTATCTTTTACGTATTATTTTAACGCGAAGACAAAAATGCGCGTAATATTGCTGCGAGAAATACGTGTCTCTCTTTTCACAGCTATGTGAACATATCTGCGATATATTTAATACTTGATCGACCTCTTTTGTTATCGCGTTATTTTGCACAGTACAATTGTTCGAATGTTTCTCATTATTTCAAAAGAAATTTGAGAAATAAATTTTACGTTCTTTTAATAAGTTCGAATGCGTGGTTAAAGGTTGTCTGATAGGTTAAAGACGTCTGATAGATTTACCGACAAAGAAGTAATTATTTTCGTTTGTGGAAACGCTATATATACACATGGATTTCTCGGAAACATCAGTTTCACTCCAAATTGATTGCGTTACTGCTACTCAACATATGTCACACACATTTTATATACATCATAAATATTTTTTAACATTTAAAGCACATTAAACTCGCAATCATCGGTTCTCAAGCAAAAAAAAACACATCGTATGCGTACAAAACTTTATATCGAAACGTCATATTTTATTAGAAATCAATTACTTTTTTATAATTATTATTTTCTTGTGATATCTGCATCCTACTTAAAATATAAATATCTTTTAACATTTGGAATCGTATTTCGGTTGCAAACGTCTTTTGACATTTGGACATTAAAATCGTAGAATTCAAACGAATTGTAAAGATGCAATAATTGTTTCTTCCCGGAAGAGAACATCGCACCTAAATATATAAAATTTATCTTTTTCTAATTATTATCCTCGCGACACAAAGTTATCCAAATGTCCTATAAATACCTTCCTACAAATGTTCTACAAATATCTGCCTTCTACAAAAACTGGAATCACGGGAAATTGGGATCGCGAAACGGGATATACTTCACGTTTGGAGAATTCCAGTGTCGAGAATTACGCGCGATTCCGCGATTTGCGATTCCGCGTTGTCAAGAGCGCAAAAAGAGCAATAAAGGACGCAAAGTACCATTTGACGCGCGATGAGTGCCGCGAATTGCGGATAATGTAGGGGGGTTCGGTACTGACGAGCGAATAAATTTCCGCGAATTACTACGAAACGCGTATTAGTCCGGCGCTAACTTATCGCGTATTTTACGTGGGAAGTGCTCCCATGTATTCACCCTATTCGTCGTTCCGTCGCTCGCGCACGCACTCACCGCGTCGCGATCGCTCGTTCTCTCGCGCACTGCGCAAGCGGCGCGGCGGCGGCGAGTCTTCTCTCGGTCGCCTGGTCTCCTCGTATAGCGGCGGTGGATATATACACGCGCGCAATATCAGCGGCGAGCAGTCGACACGCGGCACTCGTTCGAAGTGGGTCTTTTCGTGCTCTCCTTCCGTCCTCCTCTTGCGGCCGAGGGGAGAGAAAAGGCACGTAGCGAATCGCAGAAGAAAGAGAGAAGTGAGTCGTGAGAGAAGAAGTGTCGTATCTTATCTCGATCTTCCCGCTCGATAGCCAGAAATCGTCGAGAGCATCCGCGGTCACGATATCGCTCATTAACTTCGGATTGATTACTCGCGCTTTGCATTATCGTGATACCGCGTGTTACGCGATGACGTCGCTCGCCAACGGAAGAAAGCAGCAGCAGCAGCAGCAGCAGCACGACGAAGCGAGATCGCCCCGACATCGGACATCCGGTTCCAGCAGTCCGCGCTCCGATCTTCGCCGCGCTCTTAGATTACCGCGCGCCGACTGCTGAGTGAACTTCGATCGAAGACCTCGTTCGATCGCGCGTCAGCGAAACGAGATCAGCGTTCACACGGAAACGGTATCTCCCTCCGCCGTGAACTTCGCGAGAACAACGTAAAGGAACGCGGAAATAACCTAACCTATCTGGATATTGCTGCTTACTTCTTAAAGAATTCGCCTGTGAAAGATACTGTGTGGTTGGTTTATTTTTCGGAGAATCTAGCGAGAACATTCGGCGGCACGATCGTCTTCGGACGACTCGGTGGATCGCGAAGCGTTCGGGACGTGCACTTTCGCGCGCTCCGATAAGAAGCAGCCGGCGTGAGACCGGCGGAAGATCGTGTGACCCGGCTATGGGCAAGCTCCCAATAATCCCTCGAGGTGATACCACTCGCGACGACGCAAGGGCGGCCAGCGGGGAGCAGGTAGAGAAGACGGCAACGACGGCGACGGTGGTAGCGCGATTCAGCGCGATCGCCGATAGCGCTGCCGCCGATCGCGATCGTCGATTACCAGTCGCGAGCGTATTGACGCGCGGATCCGCATCGGCAACGAGATGTACGCGAGAGAACTCGGCGGACGGTCGTCCGATTGGGAAGATCGCTGACGCGAGGGTGATCGCTCGAAGGCGTCGGGACGCGGACCTCGTCGGCGCGATTACGCGGCTACGCAGGAACACGTGGCACGCCGAAGGTGAAAGCGAGGCCGTCGAGGTTGTTATCGACACTTCGTTGAACGAATGGAGAACCAACGCTGTCGGCAATAATGTCCGAGAGAACCGCATCTCCGACAGGCCGGACGTGCTTCGGGATGCCAGGATCGCCGGCGACGAGCACACTTGTTGCGTCGCGATCGACGTCCCGTTGTTCCGCGCGCGAAGACACGATCGAGTCGAGCGGCGGAATCGGCGAGTCGGCGGTGTCTTACCGACTCGCAGCAGGTCTATCGGTGCGCCGATCGACATCGCGCGGGTCGAAAAGATACTCTGGTGTGGCAATACGGTGGACAGTATTACAACGGGACGGCGGGAGGACCGAGATCGGTTCTTCGTGCCGTTCGCGAATATTTTCAAGTGCGACGGGCGTATCTCGTCTGACGATACCACGAATATCGTCTTCGGGATCCGAGAATCGATCGGCAGCGGCGTTAACACGGAACACACTTGGACCGGTAGTGAATCCGGCGATCCCGCCGATTGTGTGTCGTCGCATCGAGGCGGATCTTCCGCCAGACTGACCGAGATCGCTAGCGTCGAATCCTCGTGCGAGAAGCGGCCGTGTACCTTCGGCGATGGGGCGGATGCATCGTCCTTTTCGCAACTTTCCGCGAAAATCGATCCCGGTGAACGAAAGCGCGCCAGGACGGACGCGTGCTTGAAGCCGCCAAGAATCGGTCTCGTTCTACGAGCTATTCTTCTGGGAGTATTCGCGATGAGCTTACTCTGCGATGCGGTGCTAGCCGCGCCGTCGCCATTGGACGTGATGGAAAATTTCGAAGACGGCATCGGAGACGAAAAACCGGCGATGCCGGGAAATCATCTCGGCGACAACGAGCTCGAGATCATCAGGAGGAGCATCGTCCAAGGTCTCGGGCTCCAGAGGATACCTGATTCGTCGAAGGTGAGTTTTATCGATAACTCTTGGTGCAAATGTGAAGCATTGTTACCGCATTTTTAGATATTTTTAGTTACAAAATTGTCAATATTGTTTTATCAGTAACGTAACCCAAAACAGAGATTTACCAAAAGATTTTTACAAAATATAAATAAATTAATGCACGAACAAAAAGATATTGTAACCCACATGCAGTTACATGTGTTTATTTAATTTTTGTTTCTCTCTATTGTAACTGATTGACAATGGATCTTTCGAAAAGCAGATTAACGCGTGGAAATAATTTTTGTTGAAAAGCTTTAATATGCTGCAGTTACAATACTTTTCATTGATCTATCGATTTGAATGATATGCGAAAGCAGAATGAGTGATAAAAATACATGATGTAGGTGTTACGAAAACACAAAGCTATTTTCGGTATCATAAATCGCGCGGTGCAAAAATAAAATACCGATATATCCGTTCCAGATTCTGCGTACATTTTTTATTTGCGGATTATTTTAATAGTTGAGATTTTCCATGAATAAAGATATTCACACAAGGCAATGAAAACGGTTGTTTTCTCTTAAGCTTGAGAAAGTTGATGATTTTCGTGAATTATCTTTAATGAAACAAATAGAGATAACAAAATCGTATTTCTTCACAAAATTTTACATAAACAATTCATTAATATTTTCAACGTTATTTTAGTTATAAATTTACTAAATAGAATTTCAGTTATTACAATAACATAGTATTTAAAAAAGAAATAATGTATGATAGAATTTTTATTAAACAAAAATTATATTATAAGGGATTTTTAATTGGTTAGAATCTCGTAACAAACACAAACTTATGAACGGTCTACATAATAATAAATTAAATGACGCTATTGGATTAAATAAAATCGATTTCGTAAAAAAGTGAGACATCATCGTGTTTATATCAACAATCCACCACAGTGGAAAGAAGTTGATAAATTATTACGATGATAAGCGACAAATGCGGACGCGCTGGCGATGTGCTCACTTGTTCCCGCGAGTTCGTTGATCGAGGACGACGCGTCGAGATTATTTGAATGAAAAAGAAAGATTTTTTTCAATAATATCTTGAGAAAAATAATTAATTTTGGTTTGGCAGAGTCAGATATCATATCAAACGTTCCACTTAAGTCCAAAATTAACCATAAATGAATGTATTTATATATTCAAGGAAAATCCAAACAATAATCAAGACGAATAAATGACTTCTTATCAGAATGTGGAATCTGAAGAATACGGGAAAAAATAACCTCAACACAAATATCTTTGCGAAAGTATAGGCTGCGCGTTTATCCTCATCGTATCATTTATTTATATATTTTGACCAAAGTAAACTGGAAAGTTAAAGTTGAAATGTTCCATTTGTCATGTAACCGACAAGTGATTTGCATAAAGTAAGATATATTTGCACCTGTACGTCAAGTACTTACAGCAAGTAAGCTCGTGCTGACCCGTTTTTTTTTCCATACTTAGATAATATCTCGAGTTCCGCATTTTTACGTTAATTTTCTGTGCGAACGGGAAAAAAATTATACAAATTGTTCAAATCTACATATACACGCGATCGGATCTTTCGAACTGCAAAATCTCTGAAAGTAAAGGGAGAATGTGAGAAGTTGGCGCTTCTGCATTTTCCTTATTTGAAAAAAAAAGGTGACTTCAAACAAGAAGAGTTATAATTAAAGTACACATTATAATATATCTATGCGGCACGTGAGCGCGCCCGCGCGTAAATATACTCTATATTTAAATTGTCCGGATTAAGTAAGCCGGGCTTAGCGCGCGATTCGCACGCGCTATCGCCTTTTTAGATTATAATTATATCTCTTGCGTTATAGATAGTGAGACGAAGAAGATTCACTTGACCAAAATTAGCTTTAAGCGACGTCGTACATAACCTTCCGAAAATAGATCTTATGAATTATGGACATAGAGCGCGCGGTCTCTTACACCGAAACTCTTCAAGGGTAGGTGGGTATAAATCCAGTCGTCCTCGCGCGGCGGCGGCGGCGGCGGCGGCATTTGCAACAAAACGCGAGTACGTGGCGCTCATTGATTTACATACACCGGCGTGTGTTGTATTCCGGTATTTATAGATCGCCCGTAAATCATACGGGCGGCGAGCGCTGTCGCCGGCCCGATCACGGGAAACGCGCCCAACGTGTCCGCACGCGAAGTACGCGAGCCGGACCTTCGCGAAGCACGAGGGTTCGTTGACATCGGTTAGGCTGAAAAAAGGCTTAGTCTTTGCACGTAGGCCACTCGCGTACACGTCGCGGCGCACCGGTTGGAACGCGGGCAATCGGTACGATGAAAAAGCGCGACAATGCTGTTCCAGGGAGGGACGCGTGACACGTCGCGTGGTCGTTCAGATCATTAGTCTCGTAAATGCTAGCACGAAACGGAACGCGAGCGCGCGCGCGCGCGCGCGCTCCTGGGAAGCCGGGAGTTCTTTCATCCCTACGACCCTTCTCGCGTCAGGCGTTTTTCTACAACACGCTTTGTGATCCCACGTGTGACTTTTATTCCTTACTGTATTATTTATTACTTTTTATTGCCAGTGATACGAAAGATAGAGATCTTGATGTGTTTTCGAGGAAAAAATTCCCTCGGAAATTACGATCTCGGGAGAAATTTCTCGGACAGCCGTCTCTTCCGGTCCATCGCGTTTAACTTCGCGGGGATTGTCTTCGCGCCTAATCTCGGCGTTTGCTTCGTCAGTGCGTGCCGGCATAAATTCCTTCGCTTTCGGAAACTTCGCAGGTATCCGCGGAAACGCGCGACATCTGGCACATATATGCGCGCTGTTTGCCTAGACGCGGCTAATAATCGCCGTACCTTTGTTAGTGCCGACCCGGGTAAACAGTCTTACGACCGAATGCAGTTCCTGTCGTAGATAACGTCGTCGCCGCCGCGATAGATTATATGCGCGGAGCGATCTTTATCTTCGTCTTGCGGCCGGCCTCATCTCGTCTCTATTACGCACGGCGAGTCGTCGATGTAAGCGAGGCGAGGCGGCCGTACCTCGCACGTTGATTTACGTCCTATTGAAACCGCATTCGTTTAAGGACGAGGCTCGGGAGGGGTCCGAAGGAAAAAAAAAAAAGAAACGAGCGAGTTTAATCGCGCGCCTCCGGAGAAAGTTTAATTTCAAGAAGTATCGTCTACGGGAGATTGCGAATTTAATGAAAATGAATGTTATGTACTGCTGCGCATAAAAATCAGAACACCAAGTTGTAAGAATGGCTCTGATCGTTGCGAGCGGCAGTGAATTATCAGAACATGTGCTTCGAGACATTTTGCAGACATTTAATTATATTTTGGATTAACATTTTTCAAAGGGTTTTTAATCGTTCGAGACTTTATGATTCCAGTTTCGGAATGATGACATTTTCGAGTGAATGTATTTTTGGAACATTGTTTCATTCTTGCACTTCTTTCGAGACGATATATGCATCATTCTCGCGCATTAAATACGTTGGAACGATGATCGGTCAAAAGAGAATACACGTGTTTTCAGCGTATTGTATCGGTCTTCTCTTCGAATGGACTTTTGAATTCAATTTTTTTTTGGGAGATGCCATTTTTCGTGATTCGTTGAAAAATGACGATCGATCAAAAGAGAATACACGTATCTCCAGGACATTGTTTCATTCTTTTGATCTCTCGTGACACGTTTCGCGTGTCCTGTCCGTTTCGGTTCTGTGAAATCGCGAAGGTATACGCCGGCTCGGCAAAAAGGCGCGCGCGTCTGTTAAAAGGAGCATAATGAGGCGCGCGAAAGAAACGAGAGATAGAGAGAGAGAGAGAGAGAGAGAAAGAAGTTCGGGGCAAGCAGAAGGTGCAAGAAAGGACGAACGGGAGCTCTCGACCTCTCCGAGACTTCCTCGATCTCTCTCACGTCTCGTCGCGTCGCTTCCACGTCGTTTCGCCTGAACGCTGTCTCGAAGGGTCCGCTACTGACGCATACGCGGCTTTTGTCCTGCAAATGCGAGTCGGCAACGCGTCGCGGTGGTAAAAAGAAGTCGGCGAGAAGTCATACTCGTTACAGCCGGCAGCAGGCCGGGCGAAGGCGGGGACCAAAGTCGCATCGCGTAGAGCTCATCGCGTAATTAAGTGTGTCAAGGAATACGCCTAGGCGCCTGTGGCTCAGGACGGGCCGGACCGCATTCCCGGGAAAAGACACTCAGGGGTGGAGGGGGAGAGGGGAACCGGCAGGTAGCCGCCGGCTGGAGACGCGACGCAATTGACTAACGCCAACTTTTCGTGTGCCGTGCTCGCGCGGGCGCGATGTGCGCGATAAACTATGAATCGCAAGCCACTCGCGGAGAACATTTTCTTTAAGTTCGTAGACGTGGTAGATCGACGTAATGGACATCTCTTTTCGCGAGCGCGGATATTAAACGCGTCCAAATAAGTCGGTCTCGCAACACTGTAATCTGCCGCACTTACTTCAATGCGTCTAATTGGTTCTAATGTTTGCTAGGAATTCGTAAGAATCGTCGTTAATCGTCGTCAACGAATCACGTTTATTGTAATAGCGGAGAGATTTAAGAGGCAGTCATTTAATAATTAAATCGTGGCGAATGTAACTTTTATTTTTCCGAGGAGAATTTTATTGTTTAAATTAAACGTTGCTAAATCACGCAATTAAATGATCAGTTTAATAAAATCTGTGGCAAAATGGCGGCAAAGCGAATCATTGAACTTGTTATTTTGTTGTTGTCAATTAAGACTCATATGTCTGCCAATAATTAATAAATAATAATGCAAACTCTGACATTTGAATGAAAAAAGCAATTTTTTCTATATTTAAATCTTTTAATTGATATTTTCAACGAAATAATCACGATTTCCGTGACTCATTCAGGACGCAACTTTCTCGTTTGGAGCCAAAGGGGTGAAGCCCCGCGGCCATTTTCTTTTTTTCGATTAACAGTGTCATTACGCTACGGGAAAGTCGCGGCCCGGTACGTCATCGCGTCT